ATGCATCCACACGCACGCATAAGCCTGCGCTCTGCTAACTGCGCAGTAAGCAGCGACTGCGCTTGGGCTGCGCTGCAGTGTGGGCAATATTATGAGAATTTATTTGTCGAATAATTTCTTTTGTAAACATATGATCTTAATGAAACTTTCAGAGTGTAATCATATGGTAAATATGTGTGTACATTCCAAAGCACAAGTCTCTAGTACTTGAAATGCGTTTTTTACAAATTGGGGGAGAAGGGGGCGTGGTATCCAAAATCTGTAAATTACAAAATCTTTGTATCGATTAACTTTATATACAACGCAAATTTGAAGACTCCAGGTCTAAAAATGTTCAAATTAGGCTAAAAAAACAAAATCAATTTTTCGATTATTCTCGATAAAAAAGTTATCGGACGATTTATCGAAAAAATAAAGCAAACTCGTACTGCGTATGGTACTCACGAGTATGCATGCAAAATTTCAGCTCTCTAGCTCTTATAACTTCTGAGATCGAAGCACTCATACGGACGGACGGACGGACGGACGGACGGACGGACGGACGAACAGGGCTATATCGACTCAGCTCGTCGCGCTGATCAAGAATATATACACTTTGTGGGGTCTGCCACGCCTCCTTCTGCCCATTACATACTTTTTCACAAAACCATTATACCCTGATTTCCCATTTTCAATGGGTTCAGGGTATAAAAAGAGTAGAAACAAAACAGAAAAATCGTGCCTTATCGCAAGGTGCCAATTGCTATGCAGATAACATGAGAATCGGTGGACATATCAATTAGCAAATTCCAAATATAAACAAAAGAGCGAGAGCGAGAAAGTTAGGTAAGGAAGAATGATAAAGAGGGGTAGAGAGAGTTTTCAGTATCTTCTGTTTTATTCCTGACCAGAGTTTTCGTCTTTAATCTATTATTTACTTTATTTTAACTGCGGCGCGCAGCTTGGCCGAGCGACTGCGACTGTTGCGTGCGATCTCCGAGGCATCGGGCAGGATGACGTGTCGATGCAGCTGTCGCCAGTTGGACCGGACGAAGGACTCCATGAGCTCTGGATCATGGGTAAGATCGTGCCCGCTGTATTTGAGCGGCAGCGGATTGGCCACGCCCTCAATCACATTTCCATTGAGATGCCGCTTGACAATGGTGTCCTCCAGCGAGTGGAAGGTGATGGCCACCAGCCGGCCCTGGGCGCGCAACAGGAGCTCCTGGGCCAGCACCATGCCGTAGTTGATCTCGTTCAGCTCGTTGTTGACAAAGATGCGCAGGGCCTGAAATGTCTTGGTGGCCACATGCGATGGCCGCTGCAGCTTGTCCCTGCGATGTCCCTCGCCCAGCACAGCGGCCACCAGGTCCGCCAGCTGGCGAGTGGTTTCAATGCGCTGCAGCGCGTTCCGGGCCTCGACAATGGCACGCGCTATCTTCTTGGCCGCCTTCTCCTCGCCATAGACGCGCAGAATGCGCGCCAGGTCCGCCTCCTCGATGCGGGCCAGCACATCGGCGGCGCTGACCCCGCCTCGTCCGCAATCCATGCGCATGTCCAGCGGCCCGTCGTGGGCGATGGAGAAGCCGCGCGCAGCTTCATCGAACTGCATGGAGCTGCAGCCAAAGTCGAACAGCACGCCATCGAAGCTCCGAGGCGGCACATCTAGGGCTTGCAGCAGCTGCGGGAGGTCCGAGAATTTGCCAAGCATAGGGATTACGCGTCCTTCGTAGTTCTGCTCCTGACTCATGCGCTGGGCCAGTTGATGGGCCACTGGATCTCGATCGAGGGCGTAGACTGTGGTCTCTGGGCAGCTGTCTAACAGCTTCCTTGTATGTCCGCCGGCGCCAAAGGTCATATCGATGTACTTTCCACCAGGCTTCGGCTGCAGGTACTCGATGGCCGTCTCGCAGAGCACCGGCACGTGCGGAGCTGCTTCAGCTGGAGTTGAGGCCGTAGCCGCAGCTGTGTAGGGTCTATTCTGTATTGCTGTTAGTCTTAGTCTGGTCAGGAATCGCTGCATCAGCTGCTGGGCTCTAATTGCGTTTGCCATCATTCAGATACTGCAGAAACTCCGAGCTGAGCACCTGGTTACACTGGGCAGCAGTTAAGCCCGTTGCCGTCGACTCGAACCGCCTCGTATACTTCTTCGCGTAGACGTTATTCGAGAGCCTCTCCAAGGCGTCGATCTGCCTGTTCAGCTGCTCAGTGGCTGCGGAGCTCTGACTGGAGGCGTCTTTTAGCCTGGCCGCTTGCTTACGGATTTGCTCGCCCAGATCCCTTGTAGATGGGAGAGAAAATGTTGTTTGGTTTTCAAATTCACAATTTTATGTGATTGTTTTATGTTTCGTTGCAGCGAAAACTTGGCAATAGTTCAACAAGAAACGATACCAAACTAAGCTCAAAATGGTAGACTCAAGAAATGAACAAAGACTTAGTCGAGTTTTAACTGGTTTTAGCACTCCACAATCATAGAGTAATGAAATCCAACATACCTGTTGATTAATTCCAGCTAAAGAAATTCAAGTAAGCAATATAAGCTCAGCGATGACAGAGTAAAGGTAGAGATAAGCAAAAAGTAATACAACTATTTATTATACAAAGCCAAACAAAATCCCAACAATAACTAAGCCCACCCGAAGCTAAAAGACAACAAGCAATAAAACGATGGAATTAAATCACTAGGATTTTAAGAAATTCAATTCAAATTCAGAGTGGAGATAAAGCTAAACTTTGGGCAAATGGATTCAAGTATTTATTATACCGAAAAGTTTTGCCACTGCCAAACTAATGTCTTCCGCACATTTGTGTAAATCCGCAAATTCGTTTACCGACATCCCATGCCCGTTCACAGTCTTCCAATAGATAAATAATATAGTCAACGTTTTCCGATTTGGAACGCCTCCATAATATTATAATGCCAATATGCATAGAAAATCAATCAACTGATAAGTTGGTAATATATTGTTTTTATATGCTGAAACAAATACATATTCTTTTATATAAATGTATTATAATAAACTGTTACGTTCTTTTTTTTTTTTTTTTTTTTTTTTTTTTTTTTTTTTTTTTTTTGACTACAAATATTTTAAATATATATTTTTAACTTTATTACGCCGAGACCAACATACGATTTTATTTTTATTAAGTTAAGATGCTCAAATTACTTTCAGCAGTTTTGCATCTATTTAAGGGAAACGAATTGTTTCTTCATATTCATAAATTCGCTTTTAGACACTTACATTGTCAATTCCTGGGCGCCAAGAAGGAAACTCTCAGGTATTAATTGGTAGGCGTATTTAGAAGACATTGTGAAATACGATTTTTAATTAGGCCAAGGCACACATACAAAAAAGCCAAGCAAGCCCGACAAAGAGCGCTAAGACACTGAAGCTGCTGCTTATGTTAAATTGACAAATGTTCTACCCAAATACGTTCCACAATAATTTTTTTTCCATTGTGGCATTCCAAGATATAGGCAAAAGACAATTGCTGTCAGCTGACCATAAACTTTACAATCCAGTTTAAATTATGGAAGCTGTTGGCATGTGCCACAGCCGAATGAAAACTAGTTTAAGAAAGTCCAATAATACACCGAACACAACTTACGTTCCACTATGGAACATGTTGCCATGTGCAACAACATTGAAGAGCGTTAATACCACGCGACAACAAATTAACTGCGCTGTCCTTACTAATTTCGACCTAAAAAACATGGAATGAGCATGGCAAGTAACATACATTTGGTTTTATAAGCAAATTCAATGTGAGCTGGTTAGATAATGCCCATTGCAAGACTCCGCTGAACGAACATTTTACGGTATGTGTCTGGAAGCTCTCTTACCTGCCGACTTTCGTTTTTTCTGCTGGCCACTTCTCTAGTACGTTCAGAAATCTCTTATATGGTGCAGACATGCTTAGAGTAACACAATTTCTAGAAGTTAATATTTTTTTACCGCCAAAACAAAAACATTGCACGCGCAGAACAGCTGAGCAATGTGGTCATTTAGAGCACTAAAAACGGCATTTTACTCCACTACACAACAATGTTGCAAAGCGTTAAAACTATCGTACACATAAAATATCGATAGAATGGATGCACGGAGCGAATATTTAAACAGGCAAAACCTGAAATTTTAAGACTCAGCAAACTCTCCTTTAGTAAAAGCTCTAAACATAAATTAAATAGGATGGGAAATAATTCTCTATTATTATTTTAAAAGGGTTTGGGCTCGCCATCTCTGTTTAGATAAAAATAACATTTTAAGTGATTATTTTTTATTTAAAATTTAAAATAAATGTAGTGAATCATGTCCTTACTCGATAATGGTAACGTCCTTTACTTAATACTTTGAAGTTAATTTGAATTACCTTTCCCTGCGTATTCATACAAAATACAGGGTACTCAAAATGTTCATAGAAATAACAACCAATCAGAGTAAAACCGGAATAAACACAGAGAGAGAGTCGTAGAGAGTACAACAGAAAGACAAAGAGCGAAATAGTGGTGAGCAAAAAACACACATAAAAAACATAAACAAGCATTTTTTCAATGCGCGTGCAAGAGGGAGAGCGAACGAACCAACAGGCACACATAAGCACACACACACCCAGGTACTTACGCTCACAGCTGCTTTCCGATTGCAATGTCATGAAAAAAGTTGAGTGGTTTTTTCAGTCGAGTTTTTGCCACCGAGCCGAATGGTTCCTCTTATTCAGACTCGTCTTTTTTACGTTTTCCGTAGTGACTTGTTGTTCGCGTACGCTCAGCATGTAAATAACGAGGAGCGAAACGAAGCACAAACCATAAACGAAACGAATGTTGCATGCTGTAAATCGTGCGATCTCCCCTCATTCATCATTTATAATTAATCAAGGCGCCAAAATTAAGTCGCGCCAAATTTTGCAAAAAAAAGAGGGCAGCACAAGTGCAAACACACACGCTCAAGTGTGTGTTGGTGTGTGTATATATTTTTGGCGTGCGCGGCCATTTTTTTCCTTAGCTCTCAAGTCTGCATGTGTGTGCGTGTGCTTAGTGTACTCCAAATTCGTAAGAGAAAACGTAAAAAGTGCAAATAGACAAAATTAATAATAATAAATAAAAAGGAAAAATTAATGAGTATCTTCGGGTTGTTTACCTAGATAGGCAAACATCGTAACCAAACTATTGCTCCCTACGCACGCAACACGAAAGGTGAAAACGTAAAATCGCATAAAAGTTGTGAAAGGATAGCAGAAGGGAACGCGAATATTTTTCCCCACCCCCACTAATAGGTCAGTCTGAACACGTGCTTTTAATACGACAACATCAACAGAAACGCGCGCAAAAGAGAGAACACAATAACAACTGCCATTTCCAGTTGGTAAGTACTTCCAAATGTTTTTTTATTTTATTTTATTTTTTTTTGTTACTTTTCCGAGCAAAATAGCTGTTTTTATGTTTACAGTGCTTATATGATTACAATTTCTATGTTGATCAATTAAAATCCTCACAAATAATATATATCCAAATAATATAGCCTAAAGATATAAGATAATTTGAGATTAGAAAGCATTTATTCAAAATATTAAAAATGCGCTAAGCAAAACAAGTTCACAATTTGCAGTGCTCAACAAAAAATGTGTCATCAAAACATTTGCCAAATGCAAACGGAATTGTAATACTGTGCAACTACGGCTGCCAATATTTACCCACCCGCCCTGGTCATTGTTTGACTTCTTTTTGTGCCATTCATTCGGTGGCGGTTTGTGTGTCGTCTTTTTTTATCTCTGCTGTTTTTGCTCTCGCGTTCTTCTTTCTTTTTTTTTGCACATGTCACCCCCACCAACTGTTGTAGCCTTTTTTCGTTTATTTGCTTAGCAGTCCAAGCTTTTGTTCCGTTTTTTGCAGCTTGCTTCTGTCCGGCTCTTCATTTGTTTATGTTGCTAACTCGCTCGCGCGCTCTCACTCTCTCTGTTGCTCTCTTATGCTGTTCAGCTGCGGTCGCTGCTTGCGCTCAATTAATTTTCGTTGATTCGTTTTTTGTACACTGTGTGTGTGCGTGTGTATATGTGTATATGTACGTGTTTGCTTGAATGTTTTTTTGTGTGTGTTCGTTAAATTTTTTGTGTATACCTATTTTTTTTTTGTACATACATACATACATATGTATGCTTCTGAACAGCAACGTTGGCGTTAGCGTGCTTTGGGGCCGTCTGAGTGATTCCGTCTTCAGCTGTAGTCGCTGCATTGTATGGGTGTTTGATGTGTGTATGTTTATTTGTCTGAAGCCACTTTCAACAAATCGGAGTAGTAATAATCTACGGCAGTCTAATTTGAGTTTTAAGTTGTACTACTGATCCATCCACTGCAGGGTCAACAAGCGACTAAAGCATCCTGTGTGCCTTTTCCCTTAAGCCTTTGCCCTCTGCTCAACATCAACAGAAAAAAAAGCAGCTACAACAACAACCGGTTTTTTTGACCAGGCAGCTATAAAAATGTTTTAAGAAAAAACCAAAAGAAACACAAAAAATCTGCTTCTGACGTCAACTGCGCAGCAGCGGCAGCAACGACAACAAAACAGCTACGCACTGCGTCTGTGTGTCTGCCTGTATGTGTGTCACTCATTCTCCCACTCTTGTGCGGCGCTTAGCCGCTCCATCTCTTTCTTTTACTCTCTCGGACCGATTTAATAACTCAATTTGTTTTATTTCAATGCGGCGCGCGCCAATTCAGATGTTTTTCTTATTGATTTTTTTCTACAAATAATGAAAAAAGGAGAAAAAATACAAAAATGAGGGAAACACACGTAAAATTCGGCGGACAAACACCTGTGACAGCTTTTTGTTTACGAATTCTTGCTATTTGTTGTTGCTTTATGGGTCAATCAGAGTGGTTTAATTAAAGAGGAAGCTCATATAAATTTGTTTATATGTATATTGATGAATGCATTAGTATTTAAAAATGTAATTTGAAATGGATATAACTTTATTTTATTATTTATTTTATTTATCCCTTCCGTTGGCTTTGAATTTGCTTATGAATACAGGCACAACTATTTAAATACACATGTATGTATATATGTATGTAATTATGTATGTAACCAAATACTTGTCTTATATTCAACTTGTTCTTGTTGTATTCCCTACTTTTGTTTCATTGTTTGCAATTAGTAAATAAGTTCATCTTAAATTGAATTCTTACTTATAGTAAATAAAGAAAAGTAATATTTCCGACACCACGACTTTTCTTTGATATCACAAATATACGTCTATTATCTGAGCATTAGTGAATGAAAAATAAAATATACAATATCAATAAAAAGGAAGACAATCAAGCTCTTACAGAGGCTCCAACCGAAAAAGTTTATGGATTAATTACTCTGAGAACAAATGTTTTAAAATCGATGTGCATTAATTATATACATATGTGTATAAATAAATGCTTGGACTAAAATTTTTTAATTTTAGTGCTATATTATATTTTGTGAGCTGATCGTATAAATCGAAAATTCTTTTAAATATTACATATGTATGTATATTTGTATCCTTAAAAATTCATTTTACGTTAAATTCAAATTAAGGTAAAGCAATTTCAACCTACAATTTCTTTGATATGTACATATATTCTATATATCTAGTTATATGGTAAAAAATAGTATTTTGCCAAAATATTGCTATTTAATTTGGTATTGTTTTTACTTCTCGAATTTCAATTTTAAAATAATACAATATTCGTTTTACTACAAATGAAGAGAATATATAAATGGTAAAAAACTATATTTGATTTCTTTTACACCCAGCTTTAAATCGAACGCAGTTAGTGATATTAAATAGCTCACATTAATAATAATAATATGATTTAATATTTTTACTGCAAGAGAAATCAGTCTATTTAATCTCAACCATTGTTGGTTAGTTAAGTTATTAGATTTTACCCATTAACAATTCTTAAGCAAAATAATAATGGTATAATTTATAACTTGCATGCTATAAAATATTAAATATGATATTCAGATACATAAATTAATACACCATTATAATACACCATTATTTTATTATCAAATATCCTATTCCTTTATCTTTGATAAACGGTCAAAATTCTAAAGACAGCATACAGTATTCATGTTTTACTATCAATAAGAGAAAAAACTAAAATTTTTGCACTTATATAGTAATTATCTTTGATCTATAATCTTAGTTAAATGACCTAATGGGTTTTATGGTATATTTTCATGACCTATAGTTTACCTATGTATGCTTTTTCAGGGTGTTTTTTTATTCGATAGCTCCCGGCTAGAGCTTGCATAGTTATTTTGTTTTAGCATAATTTGAATTAGTCTTCTTTTGTTATTCTGCAATTCTTGAATGTATTCCAAATCAGATAAGTGCCTCTCGTCTATTCTTTATTTAGCATCTGCTTTGGGGAGCCTCATCTTTGTGGCAGATTACGAATTGCCCCATTTTCGCAAAGAGTTTTGCTCTGTGTTCTTCAGTTCTCGAGGTGATTGACACGTTCCACTGGCGCCCCTGACTCTTAGCTGGCCTCCCGGCTCTTTCCCAAAGAGTGCAAAAAATGGAGAATTTTATTTTCGTTGCTCTCGTTCACTGTAGAAAAGAGTATATAAGTTTTGCTATTCTTGGTTAACTTGTAAGAGATACTTGTTCTGGAGCCATGATAGATGTAATATAAAACAATCTTTCTTACAGATTTACTAAGAAATCAAGCATTTATTAATTCTGTTTAAGAAATGTCTAAGTCCTGAGCGGGTACTGTGTGGACAGATACGCCCGACCATAATATTTCAACTTGTTCTTTTTGCATTTTTCATATAAATGAAATGTTGTGTTGTCACATCGGATTTTTTGCTGTGCACAAGCGCCTTTTTTGTTTATCTTGTGTTTTTTTGGCATTGTTTTTTCAGTGCTTGGCTTGCAAAGTTTTGTTTTATTTATTGCACGTTTAATTCATAAACAATTAATTAATTCATGCACATTTATGTTAAATTTATGTACAAAAAGTCTCAAAAAAATTGCCAACTATTTGTAAAAGAAAAAATGAAGCAACGCGAAAGCCAAATGGAAAAATGGAAAAAGTAGTTTAACAGTTCTGTTGACTCTACAGAAATTTGCGACGGAAGCCTAAATAACAATTACAATATTTCTGTATTTTCAGCATAAAACCTGAACGACAAAAAAGAGTATAAGCCAAGAAGTTGTGTAAGCCGCGATTCGATTTCAGTTTAGTCGCAATCGTTGCCCGGCTCGGTTACGCTCTCTTTCTCTCCAATCTCCGCTGAAGCGCTCGCTTTGCAAAGGCCACAATCTGGACGCTCGCACGATCGCCTATCGACCGCTGAACCTAGGCGGGCAGCCGCTTATGGCTGCCGAACTGCCAACGTCGACGCCGAATGGCGCTGGTAGCGAGTATCACCTGCACCGATCCATCGACCAGCTGCGCACGCTCAGCCACCTCACCCAGCAGCAGCTGGTCCACGACTACAAGCCCTTCAACATCAACGAGTTCCGCCAGAACGTTGAGCGTTTGGACTACTCGCGCAAGAACGGGCTGGTGCAGCAGCAGCAAATATTGATTGACCAGCAGCAGCAGCAGCAGCAGCAACAGCAACAGCAACAGCAACAGCAGCATCAGCAATCGCATCAGCATGATTCCGAGCAGCAGCAGCAGCAGCAGCAACAACAACAGCAGCAGCTGCTCCATCAGCCGCAGCTAAAGGGCAACTACAGTGCTCCAAGCTCGCCGGCAACGCCTACTAAGCTCAGCGAACACCAGGAGCAAAAGGTGAGTGAAGCCAAGTTGATATTGATATTGGTATTAGGGATCAAATATATAATAATATTACATTTATAACTGTAATGTACAGTAACGATATTTTGCATGATTTCCGTAGGGACAATAATTTCAATATTATCTTTCGCCTCTAGTAATTCATAATAGATTTTGCAAAAGAGATCGACGTATAGCGATTTCGAATTACAATGTAAATGGAGTATTTTCAGTCTATTGGATTCAACCATCGACTAACTATGTTAGCCACTTGAGCATTGATACTCAGTAGAGTTAGGGCATAATACTTATAGGAAATATGAACGATGTTTAGCTGTGAGGAAAGAAAGACGTTTGTCTGACTGACTGAAAATGGAAAATACTACGTTAAATGAATTATTTCCAATGAACAATTAATTTCAAAATAAATTAAAGCAATATATTTAATTTTCTATTAATTACTGCAGTTCTGTATTCTCAAGAGATGGAAAAATCGTTTGTTTTAGTCAAATTTATAAAAGTTGGAATCTTTAAAGCCAATTCAATTATGCATTTAATAGGATCTTGTCAATAGGAATCTATAATAAGGAAAAAAATGTTGAATTTTTTTAGACTTATAATTTATTTATAATATGTTAAAATCATTTTTCATTTTAAATGTCTACAAACTTATTAATGGTTTATAATTAATGCAGAATTATTTTCCTTTTCTTTTATTCATAATTACTTATTGATTAGATTTGGTATTGTTGATTGCTAAATTTTCATTATTACAATTTTGATTATGGAAGTATAAATATTGAAAAACCATTTAAATGATGTAAATATTTGTCATCAATATTCATCTCTACGAGTGAAATTTGTTTAAATTTTTCATTGACACTACAGTATTCAATAAAACAAAATTGTTTCTTTTTCCCGAATTGCAGTACGATCCGAGTCGTCCGCCCTCTCGGCAGCAAGGTGGCAGCAATGGCAGCAACGGCTCATCGCCCGAGGATCAGCGCCAGGGCGGGGAGCAGACGAAGCCGTACAAGTGCGCCTCGTGCAGTAAATCCTTCGCCAACTCATCCTATTTGTCGCAGCACACGCGCATCCATCTGGGCATCAAGCCCTACCGCTGCGAGATCTGCCAGCGCAAGTTCACGCAGCTGTCGCACCTGCAGCAGCACATACGCACGCATACGGGCGACAAGCCGTACAAATGCCGGCACACTGGCTGCCCGAAGGCCTTCTCGCAGCTCTCGAATCTGCAGTCGCATTCGCGCTGCCATCAGACGGACAAGCCGTTCAAATGCAACTCGTGCTACAAGTGCTTCGGCGACGAGGTGACGCTGCTCGAGCACATACCCAAGCACAAGGACTCGAAGCATCTGAAGACGCACATTTGCCAGCTGTGCGGCAAGTCCTACACGCAGGAGACCTATCTGCAGAAGCATCTGCAAAAGCACGCCGAGAAGGCCGAGAAGCAGCAGCAGCGGCACACGACGCCGGCCGCCAATCTACAGCAGCATGTGCCAGCGGGCGGCATTGGGCTGAATCTGCAGAGGCAGGCGATGAACGACGCTAATGCCGCGTATTGGGCCAAAATGGGCGTTGATAGCGCCGCCGCCACGCTGGCCGAGGCCATACAGCAGCAGCTGCCGCAAGCCAATGGCAGTTCGTATGCCAACTTTGCGACACTTCAGCATCAGCAGCAGCAACAACAGCAGCAGCAGCAGGAACTGCTGCAGCAGCATCATCAACGCCTGGCCAATAGCGGCGGGGATACGCCAGGGCACTCGCAAAGCCCGCATGACGAGGCTGGCGAGGATCTGGTGCTGCGCCAGAGCACGCCTCAGCATCATATGCAACAGCAGCAACAGCAGCAGCATCCACAGCAGCAGCAGCAACATGCGACGCACGCTCATTCCCCTGGACCAGGCACCTCGGCCTTCACGCCGCTGAGCGCCACCGTCGCACCACCGCCCTCGCATCTGCAGCAGCATCGAGCGCCGCCCGCAGCCACTGCCGCCTACCTGTATCAGCAGAAYGCAGCCGCTGCTGCTGCCGCCGCCGCCTTTCCTACGCAGCTAATCTCGCTGCATCAGATACGAAACTATGCGCATCAGCCGAGCACCGGAATTTTGGCCAGCGACCATTTGGCTCTGGGTCTCAGCACCGTGGCCAAGGAAAAGGCCCAATAGTATCGGGCGACCGGCCACAAACGGCAGCCGAAAGAGCAGCAGCTACGATGACAGCGAAAGCAGCTTAAGTTAAGTTAGGGTTAAGTTAGGCTTAGCTTGGGCTGATTCAGAGGGAGGGACAGCTGTCGATGCCTGGTTTCCTCTATGCGTCTCTGATGAGGCTGCACAGCACGACTAAAAAAATACAGGCGTCAACTGTGCTGCCCCATCGTAGACATAAACAGATTTAGTAACTCCACACTGCCTCAAGAATACAAATATACCTATCAATGTGACAGATGCATACAGCAAACCAGGCTTTGACAGCTGTAGACCGCAAGGAAACTACTTGAAGGTTATTTTTAAAGCAAACTCAGGTTTTTCACTTAGCTTCTAGAACACACTATATATACATAATTGAACTATAAGCAATATTTACAAGCAAGATTGAGGAAACGAGATCACAAAACTCTATTCAACTCGAAATTTCTATTGTTTCCAGTTGCAAACAGTTTTTTGTCCATGATAGAGATAGTCCGTAAGCCTGTACAACAACAACCTATAATATATAGAGTAGATCATAGGTGCCGTACAAAGTACTGCGATAGTTATACATCCACGAGTGTACATATTATAACTAATTATAATGTGCTGTACAAGTCAACGTATCAACGGAGTTATACAATCAACAATTTGTCTGTATAAATCTAGAGTTAACCAAACTACGTCTAGGATCTATTTTATATTTAATCATACATGTAAGCGCAAAATGAACTTGATTTTAAAAGCAAATGATGTAAAAAGATTAATGAATAAAAACTGAGAAATATTTATAAAAGCATATGAATTTATGGAGTCTACATCGATTTTATTGTAATTTGAAGGTCCGGCAACCGCAGCGAGGATCAAAGGATGCAATGATGCAGAAGCAAATGCACATAATCCGCTTACGTTGCTTCGGGAGAAGAGAGCAGAAATCTCACAAGAGATTTACGTTCTCAGATGTTTAGCATTTCGCGTCCTTCCATATCTTCATATTACCCTCAACAGCAAAGAAATTGAAATTGAGAAACAGCTGCTGCTACCGCCGATTGACGTCGCATTTCGAAGATTAATGATAGCATTGCTCGAGCGGAGCTCAAATTTGAATATATGGGCATTCATTGAATCGCTGCTTTGAGCTAAATTTAGATATTACAATATTGGCTCTAACATTGAAACGGATGTGCGAAATGCCAATACATCCAATCTTTAATTAAGCAGAACTGCAGATATTTTGTTTTTTTGTTTTATGTTCCACAATTTAGTGTTTTTATTAAATCCTCACATCTGAAATTAGTTTGGAAAAGTATTATTGCTTTTATAAGTGATGTACATTCCTATATATCATATATGTATTATAAGATAATTTGCTCGATGCTACTAAATACAATTTACATTCCTATTCAAATATATATCCATATATGTATATATATATATAAGAAAATAAAAATCGTATGAAAATATGTATATGGGATTTGTGAGTGTATTCAGCTTTCAATATGAAAAGACTTAATAAATTTCTTACAATTCTGGTTTTTTCTTCCCCAATAACAACATTCTGCTTTTAGGGAACTACCGAACACATCACGAATTTCAACTTATGGCTACAAGTGCTCACTCGAAAAACGAGTACATCGAAGGTTCTCCTAACGTAGCTTAAAGATTTGTATGATTTTGCTCATTTCGCATTGCTGGTGCTTATGGAGAAAAAAGAAAGGAACTATATTTGAGAAATGTGTGAAATGATAGAACAAATGTATGATATGCATTATTCTTCTTTTATTATATATACATATATATTTCATAAGTTAAATCTAAAAACAAGGAGAAAATTGAGATGACTGCATAATACCAATCCTGATCCAATAACAACGAAATATATGTAATATCAATGTGCATTCCTACAGAGATTAGAAAACACCAGCTCCTCATATGTGTTTTAAAGTACTGAATTCTGATGCATACTTACTCACATTTGATACTCTCCATCCCTCGACATTCAGACATAAAAAAAAAACATCTTCTCTTGCGCAATTCTCGCAGTCGTCCGCAGTTCAAAGGTCATAGTCTCATTTTATATCTATTCTTTCATCTAGGCCACATCAGCTACACTCACATCTTTTATAATATCGAACATATAAAGTTTTCTTTTTATATCTTTGTGAACTGTTGGTTTCTTCTTAAAATGAAATCCAAAATAAATGAGTAAAAGTCTTCAAACAAATAAAAACAAGTTCTTCACTTAATGAAAACAAAAATTTTTTTCCAATCTTTCTTTAATCTTTGTTAAGTAAGGGAATCAAATAAATTAGAAATTAAATCTTGACATTTACGCCTGTAAAACTGTGGAAGATAACTAAACGGTGTATCTAAAAAGTATTTAGTTTTCATATATGTAAACGAAAAGCTCATAGAGAATGATTGGTTTTATCATCACAGATATAATAACGAATATATGTACACCATAACCAAAATTCAATTAGCTTTATTGATTTACGTGTATATACATATTTTTATATATGTGCATATGTAAGATAAGTAAGCAAATAAAAAGGCAATAAATCTGAAGCAACTAGAGCTATTTTGAAAGGTAGCCTGAAGCTTCATACCGAATCCTCAAGTATCGATTCTCAAATTGGATATTTATTTATGTAAATAAAAAACCAGTTTGATGAACAACTTAATGGAATAAATAAAGTCCATTTTAACTACATAGATGATACATTTAAATTGTAGATATGAAATTAAAACATGTTGAAAACATAATATATGTAAATATAAAACTTTGCACAAAAATAGAAACTAAATGAAAAAAAATAAGAGTACATCTTAAATCAATTTCATAACAAATTTTTTGAGCCTAAGCTTAAGCCTAGGCTCAGAAACCAGCAGAAATTGAAAAGATGCGAAAACCAGTTTTAGAACTTAACAGGTGTTTCACTCAAACGGTGTGGAATATACATAAAAATAAAAGTAAACATAGGCAAATAAAAGCAAGAAATAAATACAAAAAAGCAATAAATTAAATGAAATAAACTATGTTTATGGGCGCATAAAGATAAGTGTCTTTCGCGAGCTCGTTGAAATCGGATAAATAGCGAAACGTGATAGAGAGAGATAGCGATAGGGATGGAGTGCGCCCACAAGAAGTCAATGAGAGGCCATCAAAGGGTTGTGCCAATTGTCTGTTTGGCGTAAACAAAGCGCATTTAGGGATATTTGTTAAGCATTTGGGCACGAGTGTGATCCTTTATACTTTACTTTGTGTTTTATATTTTTCGGAATAGGAAAAGCCAGCCCTTCTGCGAGGATTGCCGACAATAAACCAACAAATCATCGCTAAACCCGTCAGAGATCGGCACCCAAAAGAGCGAACGAGACAGAATTGGCAACACACCACAAAACAGAAAAGAAAAGAAAAAAGAAAAAATTGAGAAAAAGCAACCGAAACAAAGATCTCTTGACAATGGCAATACATCGATCTATAATCGATCATTTGGCAGATTGTGCGAATGCTGAAAAGAAGAAAGGGAAATTTGCCAATTGTTGGTGCAACCCCGATATGTCTCTCGCTCACACTCTCTCTCTCTCTCTGTCTCCCTCCTTCTCGCTCTAGCTGTGTGGCTGATGTGCGATCTCTTTATATCGAGGGCGCTACGCAATGTTTGCCAATAATTTAATTGATAAATGATTTGAAATTTTGTCGTATGTTTTTTTTTTTTTTTTGCCAACTCGCGATCGCATCGATCATAAACGCAACGAAGCATTCAACTTTGGGACTAGTCATTGATTAGCATATCAATATACATTATTATAGATGCTCTAATGATCAAGGGATTGTTGGGCTCTGTATCTGCTATCTGCCATATCTCAAGCAAATGCCTTTTGTTTGCCTGATCTTTCCGATTCTGGGGTGCTGAAATCATCACGAGGCTTTTCCTTTTGGCTGCATCATCACGGCCTTTGTTATGTTAACTATGAGAAAAACGCTGGCTGAGGATCTCTGATGCCACAGGATTTCTTCACTGCTCACTGTCAATTCTTTTTTTTAGCCTGTCCCGCTTGGCTTTGATCGATATGATAATTAGAATGCAATGCCTGAGGTCAAAAATGAGTTGATAAAAAAAGAGTGGCATCTGCCAAGACAGCATACAGAAAAAAATGGAGGTACATTACTTAGAAAACTAAACGGAGTAGATATCTATTGAAATAGAATATTGAATAGATCTAAAATATGATATGAAATATAAAAAGACTAGTAATATAATATAAAATGTTGAAGTAAGTCAATAAACAATGTTTTGCATATATGCTAGTTGGGATAAAATAAGATTAAAAAGTTATTATTTTACTTATTTTTTTTATTAGAATATAGATTGAATATAGGAGGAGATATCAGAATTATTAACCATTAAACAAAACAATTGTAAAAAACGCTATTTTTACTTATTACTCGCTTTTCTTACGTATTAAAATAAATAAAGTAGAAAACCAAAAAAAACTACTATTATATATGAACAGCTTTCAAAAAATTATAGCAGAATTTATTTCGAAAAACTAGTTGAGTAATGCTAATAGGCGAATTATAAATAACTGTAAAATAAAATGCAAGGAGATGCACTGAAATCCAATAAATTACTATTCCCATCCGTTCTTGATCTGTGCGTTTTACAAGTTTAGATTCTCTAGCTGGGATCCTTATGTATTGCAGTGTATCCCCTTAGCCAGAGGCATTATGCAAATGTGAATTGTTCCGATTTGAATATTGTGTGTGTGTGATTTCAATGGCAAGAGATAATTTGATGCTGCAGAAAGGCGGCATCAATGCCATCAATAGATTTATGGTTTCTAAACTCCAGACATAATCAAAACACACACACGAAATTGCTTACACAGAGTAACGGAATGGTTCTGCTCTGGGGGTACTCAGGGGTCGTACAACCCTCAGAATTGAGTCGAGTTTAGCATAAGAAAAGGACCTCGAGGATCTCGCTGCTCGAGTCTGTGCGTGTGAAGCCGGCTTGTGCGGGCAAAATGTAACCCTAGCATTTAGTCGCCATTCAGCGATTCTTTGGATAAACTATTTATGAAATTATTACACAATGCGCACAATATATTGAGTGGGGTGCTGCGATTAGCCCAGTTCGGTGCGCTGCAGACAGTTCGAATAGAAAGGCAAAAGAGGAGAGGTGTGTATGTTTTTCCCATAACTTCTTGTTGGCTGTGTGCGCCTTTTTGTTGCCATTCACCGATTCGTATTCCTATTCTCTACCAACTCTCGTTCTTTTTTTTTTTTTTGCATATATTGGTTTCGCTATCATCTTTGTTCTCCAACATATTTGTATCTCTGCCATTCAACTCATTGTTGGATTCTAATAAGGTGCGATATTGTGAAATTTGATGCGATTTTTGTCTATTATTAAATCTGGAACCCCTATTTTTTGCACACTTCTGTCTGCCCCGGTTGCACCTTATACAATGGGTTTAATTGCTGAGGTTTTTTGTGGTCTATGGCGATGTGTGCATGGCGTTTCCTTTGTATTCATTGTGATTGGGCCACTGATTAGCAATCGGATTG